GCCCAGGCTGGAGTGCATGGCATGCTCTCAGCTCGCTGCAACCTCCGCGGCCCAGGTTCAAGTGATTCTCCTGCCTCAGCCTCCTGAGTAGCTAGGATTGCCCAGACTTGGGATTACAGGCACGTGCCACCACGCCCGGCTAATTTTTGTATTTTTAGTAGAGACAGGGTTTCACCATGTTGGTCAGGCTGGTCTCGAACTCCTGACCTCAGGTGATCTGCCAGCCTCAGCCTCCCAAAGTGCTAGGATTATAGGCGTCAGCCACTGCACCCAGCTGGGAAACCCTTTTACCCAGATCTTCCCGCTCCTGAATAGCAACACCCCCGCCAACTTATATACGGCCTTTTGCAGGGTAAACGGCCTTCACCCCTAAGTAAAAATGTTAGCGAACTAAAGGAAGGAGCCATTCTTGGAACTGGACGACTTCTGAAAACTGGAGGACGAGCATGGGAGCAAGGCCAGGACCATGACAAGGAAAATCAGCACTTTCCCTTAGTGGAGAGCTAGGCCCTGCATGGCCCCAGCAATGCAGTCACCCAGGGCCTGGTGATATGTGTCCTCTCACCCCTTCTTTCCCAGGGATACTGAGGAAAGGCTTGTTTTCTCAGACTCCTCCTCAACTGCCAAACTAGGACTAAGAGCTTTGTTGGGCTTTCTTTGTATCTTGTGTGTTTCTTGTATATTAAAGGAAGTAATTTTAAATGATACTTTAAAAAGGTATATCTAGACTTTGCATTGAGTCTTCTGTGTATGGAATGGCAGCCTAGAGAGCTTGTGTTCCCTGGCCTGAGTCCACTGGTGCGCTCAGCCTCCTCTCACACCTCGCTTAAACCGCAGTGTCCCCGTGGCCCTGCCGCCCTTTCCTCCTGCCCGCCCTAGGTGTTTGCCTCTAGAGCTTCAGCTGTCACTTCCCTACATTCTGGTAACTTCCAGGTCTCTCTGTCTAACCTGACCATAAGTTCTTCAACATCAGTTTGTCTAAAACTGAATTTATGCTCTTCCTCCAAAAGCTATTCCTCATTCCCTCTTCCCTCTCCTTATGAATGACAGCATTATCTACCTAGCTGCCAAACCCCGACCTTGGCCATTATCTTGAATCCTTCCCTCCCAATATCCTATATCCTAGCACTTGGTCAGTAAACTCTGGTGATTCCATGTTTTGTTTCTTCGTTTGTTTTTTAGAGGCAAGGTCTTGTTCTGTTATCCAGGCTAGACTGCAGTGGCACGATCACAGCTCACTGCAGCCTCAACCTTCTGAGCTCAAGCGATCCTCCTGTCTCAGCCTCCCGAGTAGCTAAGCTTACAGGCAGGAACCACCATGCCTGGCAAATTTTTGTATTTTTTTTATAGAGATGGGGTCTTGCCATATTGCCCAGTCTGGTTTCAAACTCCTAGGCTCAAGTGTTCCATCTGCCTCAGCCTCCTAAAGTGCTGGGATTACAGACATGAGCCACCATGCGCAGCCTTCCCAGCTAATTTTTACATTTTTTTTGTAGATACAGGGTCTCACTGTGTTGCCCAGGCTTGTCTTGAACTGCAGGCCTCAAAAGATCCTCCTGCCTCAGCCAAGGCTCTGGGATTATGGGCATGAGCTACTGTTCTGGCTGATTGCACGTCTTTAATCTCTCTAACCCCTCCCCCTAACCCCTCTGTCCTATCACCCTCGAAGTTCTTGCAACCCGCCTCCCGCCTTGTTTCCCTAGTGCCAGTCTTTCCTCCCTCCCTTTCATCAACCTACACTGCTTATTTCTGAAAGATCTGGAGCAATCTTTCTGAGAAGCATAACTGTGTTACTAGTCTGCTCAGAGCTCCTCAGTGCCTTCCCATTGCCCTTAGGAAAAAGTCTGGACTCTCTGGTGTGGCATTCAGGACCTTTTATAATCTGATTCCTTCTCAATCTAACCCTCCCATACAAACACACACATAGGCACCACAGGCAGGCCATAGCAAACTGCTGCACACAAAGTCCCCCAGCCACCTGCTGAGTACCTTCTCCTCCTGATCCATCTCAGACTTCCTCCCATGAGCCCACAATCTGTCCAGTACCCAGCCTTTATCACAGCACCTGTAACACATGACTGCCCTTAAATGGGACCTTGGTCTTTTTGGAACAGAAGGGAGTGGAAGGCAAACATCACAGATGTACCAGGATGCTACACTTTATTGCAGGTGTTTTAGGAGAGATAAAAAGGTAGAAAAAGGTGACAGCATGAGTAAGAAGACGACCAGGACCCTAATGGTGCCAGAGCCATAGTCACGGGGCCAAAGCCCTGTCCCACCCAGATCTGGACAAACGTAGTGGCTCTGGGGGAGTCCTGGGGCCTGCGGCCAAAGACAAGTCTGCTGTGCCTGTGAAGGGCTGGGGAGGGGCCAGTTGTCCTCGCTCATTAAGGGAGAGGCTGTGAGGACTGTGGGGAGGAAAGGCCATGGGAGGAGATGGGGCAGTTCTTTGCCCGTGTCCCTGATGCTGCCTCCCAAAGGCACAGTCCGCATGCTCCCCACTGCCCTCGAAGGAGAAAGCTTAGTGGGAATGGCACCTGGAATATAGAAGAGAACACCTGAATGTGATGGGGTTGGGGAGGGGCCGCTGAGTGTCTTCATTGCCTTTCACTTCCCTTTCTCCAGCCTCCTCAGTTCCAGACTTTGAGGAAGCTGTCCCAGGAACCTGTGGCCACAGCCATCCCATCAGCTGTGACTCCCAGGCAGCTGACCCTGTTGTCGTGGCCAGAGAGGATGCCTGAGGAAGAGGGAAAGGAGTCACCATGTCTCTCCAAGCTGATTTGGAAAGCAGTGTGTGCGTGTGTGTGGGTGTGTGTGTGTGTGTGTGTGGGTGTGCACGTGCGTGCTTGAGCATGCAAGGATCCTAGACTGGGTAGGCTGGGCTCAACCCTTGAAGAAAGGATGAGAGACTGAAAGAGGATTAGCCCTAGGGCAGGGGGTTCTCTGTCAAGAGCTTCAGTTGGGGGAGGGCTGGGATCAGACAGGGAAAGGCTCAAAGGATCTGTGTGCTATGAAAAAAACCAAGGGCACCTTGGAAAACAAGGCAATCCATTCATCCTATTTGTTTCCAGATGAAGAAACTGAGGCCCATGGAGAAGTGAGTTGTGCAAGGTCACTCAGAAAGTGAGCAACATAATTAGGATTTGGATTCTGCCTCCGGCCAGTGTTATCTTCATCAGCACCTGACCTCTTGGTAGAGAAGAAATCATCCTATCTGACCAGCTTCAGGATAGTCCTAGACGAGCCCTAGGCTGGATTGAGGGCCCTCAGGCCACTCCAGATCTTGATTCTGCCTTGATTCCGTATTTCCCTGAGACTGTCTTGCCTCTCAGTGAATGCCCCTGAAATGCCAGGAACCCAGAACTGACTGGACAGTCAGAGTCCACACATCTCCTAAGGCAGGGAGCAGCCATGGCATTGGACAGTGGAGAGAGGCTGCTTAGAGCAACATTGAGGGAAGACAGTCCTAGGCTGGGAACGAAGGGGTACTGGATTCCAGGGGTAGAGTCACCCAGTGACAAGGGACAGCAGTAAGAGAGTTCGAAATGGGAGCCGATGAGGGGTACAGAATGGAGAGAGAGGGCTGGGGAGAATCCTTCCAGCTGAGGAAGCAGCAGCCAGGGCTGGCCCTTACCCACACGCTCGGACTTCATGGAGTCCCAGACATTGCAGTTGAAGTCATCATAGCCAGCGAATAGCAGGCGGCCACTGAGGGAGAAGGCCACGGACGTGATGCCACAGATGATGCTCTCGTGGGAATAGCAGATCAGCTCCTGGTCTGCCCGCAGGTCAAACAAGCGGCAGGAAGCATCATCTGAGCCCGTGCAGATGGCCTCTCCATTGGGGAAGAACTGAGGGCACAGGTGGCAAGTGGGTCAGGGATTAGACCTGGGCAGCCCACAGCCTCTCCTGCCCTCTGGCTCCCACCTGACAGCTCCAGGTCAAGCCGCTGCTCTCAGCCCCTCTGCCTGCCTGTCCTTGGTTTGGGGTGAGAAGCAGCCCTGCTGGCACCATGTGCCAATGACTTCCCTATGCCCCTCGCCTGCTCTGCACTACAGCGCTGCAGGCAGGCATCATTTCCATGTCGCAGGCGAGAGTGCCAAGGCTTGCCTGTGATGACCTGGCTAGAAGGGCGGACAGAGGTTGTCCCAGACTCCTGTGGGCTGGATCAGGGTATGCAAGAACAGGGTTAAGTACAAATGCAAGGCCTGAATCTCACTGGGAGGAAATGTCAGACGAGCTCAACCGGAGGGAGAATCTACAAAAAACTGGCTTGGACTCTTCCAAAATGTCAGTGACATAAAAGACAATGAAAGGTGGGAAAACAGTTCCAGTCTAAAGGTGGCGACTAAAAAGACACAGCAAGGAAATGCAATGCATGTTTCTGAATTGGATCCTGGATAGGAAAAAAACACAGCTATTTTGGACATTTTTGAGACGATTGGTGAAATTTGAATATGGACTGTAGGCTATAGTATTGTGTCAGTGTTAAGTTTCCTGATTTTAAGACTCATACTGTGATGATGTTACAGAAGGGCTTTGTTTTAGGAAGTACTTAAGGGGTAAAGAAGCATGACATCTACAACCTACTTTCAAAGGACCCAGAAAGAAAATGTGTGTCTACATCTCTGTGTGTGTGTGTATCTATGTCTATTTCTCTATAGAGAGAAAATCATAAAGCAAACGTGATAGAATGGGCTGGGTACAGTGGCTCATGCCTGTAACCCCAATATTTTGGGAGGTGGAAGCAGGAGGGTCACTTGAGCTCAGAAGTTTGAGCTCAGCTTGGGCAACATAGTGGGAACAAATTTCTACAAAAAATCAAAACATTAGCCAAGTGTGATGGCATGCACCAGCTACTCAGGAGGCTGAGGTGGGAGGACTGCTTGAACCCTGGAGGTTGAGGCTGCAGTGAGCCACGACTGCACCACTGCACTCCAGACTGGGCGACAGAGCGAGAAAGACTCTGTTTCCAAACAAGGAAAGAAAGAAACGGCTGGCCGGGCGTGGCGGCGCACGCCTGTAATCCCAGAACTTTGGAAGTCCGAGGTGGGCGGATCATGAGGTCAAGAGATCGAGACCACCCCGGCCAAGGTGGTAAAACCCTGTCTCTACTAAAAATACAAAAAATTAGCCGGGCGTGATGGCAAGCGCCTGTAATCCCAGCTACTCAGGAGGCTGAGGCAGGAGAATCACTTGAACCCGGGAGGTGGAGGCTGCAGTGAGCCGAGATTGCACCACTGCACTCCAGGGAGAGACTCTGTCTCAAGAAAAGAAAGAAAGAAAGAAAGGGCTAGGGAAGCTATGGGAGGGGCCGAGGACGTGTGTTGTACGTGTTGTGGGGAGTGTGGGGAAGGAGCTGGAGTGAAGCGGGGGTGGAGGTGCACTCACACAGATGGCGTTGATGTCCGACTCGTGGCCAGTGAAAGTCTGACGGCAGGTCCCCTCTCGCACATCCCAGAGCTTGGCGCTGGCATCACAAGCCCCAGAAATGAAGAGATTGAAGTCGGGAGACACAGCCAGGCTCATGCAGTCACCCGTGTGTCCCACAAATACAGTCTTCTGCTGCCCAGTCTCAATGTCCCACAAGGCACTGCCGAGAAGGAGGGAGGTTGTTAAGGAAAGGCCAGGCCAGGACCATGCCCAAGCCCTAGCACTGGCAACGTTCAGCCTCACCATGTGGTGTCCCCCGAGCTGGTCACAATATTGTTGTCATCCAAGAAGCGGCAGCAGGAGAGATAACCTGGAGGTGGTTAGAAGGACAGTGCCCTGGCTGCAGAGCCACAGCCCAGGAAAAACCCAGGGTTCTCTGAACCCCTCAAGGGGAGGAGAGAGTCTCTCCCTCACCTGTGTGAGCAGAAAGCTCCCGGCTGACCTTGACATTGCCCTCACGGGATTTGAGGCTGTAGATGGAACACATGTTGTCCAGCCCCCCACATGCCACAAAGTTCCCTGATGGGGCATAGGCACAGGTCATGACCCAGGAGGAGCGCAGAGGGATGGCGTGCACCTGCAGGGAGGATGGTTTGAGCAGAGACGGGACCCGAGCTGAGCTCCCAGCTGGGCAGAGGAGGGCAGGCATAGGGCCCCTAGGAAGGAGGCGGTGGTGGAGGCTTAGGAGGCAGGGCTGGTACCTTGTTGGTGGTGTAGCTGTCCCACACGATCAGCTTCCCATCTTGCGAGGCACTTACCAGCAGCCTGGGGACAGGTCATCTCATATCATGCAAGCCTCTCCTTCCTGCCATCCTCCCTCCCGCTCTCACCCTCCCACTCTCGGTTCCCCCCAACCTTCCCAAGACTCACTTGGAGTCAGTGGCCCAGTGCATGGCATAGATCTTGGCCAGGTGCCCCCTTAACGTCCGTCGTGTCCGCATCTGGACTCGTCCCACCACCTCTAGGCCAGACACCAGCTGCAGAGAGAGGGGCATTGAATATCAGGGTGAGCAGGCTGCATGCCCAGAGGTCTGCCACAGCCACTGATCTTTACAAGTTCCTGCTCTGTGCCAGGCTCTAGGTCAGGACCCCAGCCTTAGAGAAATAAGTCTCTGGCCTGAGTGTCTTAGACTGATGTGGGAAAGAGACATCTGCATGGCCAGGGGTGTGTTGCTAAGTATTTAACAAGTATCTCTCCAGTGTCGGTGAGGAAGGTGGGAAGGTGATGTCTACGATATAAACATTTGCACTTTGGCCAAATTCAAGCTGCCAATGTGAGGTCACTGGAAACAGATTTGGGAAGAGATGTTCACAGTTGTCTCTCCTGAGCTGAGATGAGCCTGCTGTCACCGCCCCCGCCCCCAATGCAGCATGGCTAGCTTTTTAACTGGATACCTGAGGCATCACCATGACCCTGAACTGCACCTCCTCTGCCCCTGGAGCGCTAAGCAGATTCTAGACTTAGGCTGGGGGTCCAGAGCGGACAGTTTGATTTGCCATTACTTGCTTTGCTAACTTTTCTTAAAATTAAAAACAATTTTTTTTACTAAGACAAGATGTCACTATGTTGCCCAGGCTGATCTCGAACGCCTGAGCTCAAACGGTCCTTGCACATCAATCTCCCAGCCCTGGGATTACAGGCATGAACCACCGTGCCCGGCCTGCTCTGTTATCTCGGGCAAGTTACTTCACCTCCCTGAGTCTGTTTCCTCAAGGTGTAAAATGAGGCTTATCATAGCACCTATTTTACAGAGATGTCATGAAACTTAAATGAAATTAGGTATTTATGCAGCTTAGCCCAGTCTCTGGCTCATAAAAAGTGTTCACTATTAATATGTGTAATCCAATCTAAGATGCATCACTAAGAAATAAAAGATGTTGCCAATTCTAATTGAAACAATCATCCATTGTTGAATGCATCTTGATTTCAGAGATGTCAAAATGTGAAGAAATGTGCATCTTAGAACTGACAAAATACAGTATAGAAAACTAGCAACTAGAGTCTGCAGGGCCTTTATGATTAACAAAGTACTATCACCTGTTCATCTTCAAGGCCCTGGGAGGGGGGTGTACTGACTCTTGTTCTACGGACGAGAATAGGAACTGTGTCTGCGTCTTTCGCATCCAATATGGTGCCTGGCTCAGAGCAGGTCCCACTAAATGTTGGTTAAATAAATAAACTAGCAGCTTTCCTCACTCCAAGGACATGCTGTACTAACGCTCCAAGCAACGGGCTATTGCTGGTCAGGAAGCTCCCTTCCCCTCCCCCCATGTCCTGCCCTCAGGGGGACAGGGGGTCTCACCTCTGCCAGAGTAACGTCAGCACAGGCTTTCCTGGCATCCTGCAGGGAAAGCAGACATCAGGGGAGCAAAGGCAAGGTGGGGGTGGCGGGTGCAAGGGCCCCTGAGGCAGGTTGGGCTTGGGGCTCTGGGGTTTGGGGGTCTCAAATATGCAATCCAAGTTTAGAAAGTCTGTGGTCACTTCTACTCACTCAAGAGCAAACCCAGCCCCCTCCCCGTGGGCCACACTCCCTCCTGTCCCCAGCTCTGTTTTCTGGGGCCCCAGTGGGAGGGCTCTGGAGTTACTGCAATCTGCTTCTTGAGCTGCTCCGCTTCCTGACGCAGTTGCTCCATCTCCCCCATGGCTGACCGGTCAAGGGGTAGCTCTGGCTCCTGCCAGGAACATGGGGTCGGTGTTGAGGAACCCCCACCACGCTGTGATTCTGCCCTTCATGCCCACACCAGACTCCACGACGCAGGGAAGTGACTGGGTGCCGACACCACCTCCCGGCTAGGCCCTCCAACTTTGGAGTCCTTCGCATCCAGCCCCAGCCTGCCTGCGCCCTCCCTGGGCCCCAGCCCAGGAGAGCAGAGCCCAGGCCAGCTCCCTCTTACTTGGGCTCTGGCTGGACCTCGGCCCGGTTTCCAGCTCCGGTTCCTGGGCGCCTCCTTACTCCCTCAGCTGCGACGCCCGCGTCCGCTCGTCACCTGCCCAGGCTCTGCTGCCAGAGGAGCTGGCCTGGCCTGGCCCCGACTGGCAGGGGGGGGGAGGTTGGGGGGGCCTGACAGGGAGGGGTAGGGCCAACCACAACGTCAGGCAAATGAAATCAGCTGGCAGGGGTGGGGGGAGAGGACAGGGAGGGAGGTGTGTGGCTTCCAGAGACCTGGGCCCAGCCTGGAGGAGGGCAGTCAGGAGTGCAGGGCCACAGAGAGGAGCAGCCCCCACCACAAGCCCTGAGAGAGGAGGGGTTGAAGGGGTGCCTCCCTGGTCGGTCTCTGCAGGCAGAGATAAGAGCATCAGGCCTCATGGGATTAGAGTAAAGCTGTGAGGATTAAGGGTTGGGGTTTTGGAGGGGTACAAAGGAGCAGAAGCAACTACAGCTCCAGTGCCCCCCACCGCCAGCCCCAGGCCCCCATCCACGGTGATGATCTTGGCAGTCAGGGTCCACGTAGCAACCCGACCAGGAGGCGGGATATAGGGTGATAGATGGCCCCATCGTCAATACCTCAAATTGTGCTCCTTAGCGCAGGGTGCTGGGGAGGAAGGTTTGGTATGGGAGGGTGCAGGCAGGAGCTGAGATTAGAAAGGACTGATCTGGATAATCCTTCTCCTCGACAAACCCCAACCAGCTGCCTCTGGGTCTGATCCTGTGGGGGGAGAAAGGTACAGGGACCCACAGAGAAGGATGGACAGGTCTGCCCCTGCTGTGGGTGGACAAAGGATTTCAAGTGGAAGGAAGCCCGGTGCCCTGCTCCCAGGCTGGGGTCTGGCCCCCTCCTTGGCCTCATGAGGCTTTGAAAACAGGAGTCAGAGAGGTCAGGCTGCCCTAAGTCTCAGCAAAGCTCAGAGAGGGAAGACAGGGCTTAGACTTGGAGGCCTAAGGAGCAGCTGTCAGGGGCTTGGGTCATTTGCATGAGGGGAGCAGGTGGCTGAGATTTCCCTGACAAATCACAGGCTCCAGGGGCCCCGCCTGTGGGAGGCCCAAAGATACCTGTCTCCTCCCAGGCCAGCCAGAGCCACCCCCACCTCCAGCCATTACAGAATCTGTGATACACTCGACTGGCCCCTGGCTGAGGGATCTTCACAACCTTTATTGCACAGTCTGGGAGAGGAGCAGGGTTATACTCCCAACCCCACCATCCTCTTCATTGAAAGCATCAGCCTCTTCCCCTGCCATTTCCGTTCAGGGAGGCACAGTGTCCCCCATCTGTCCAGGGCTGCAGGTCCCGCAGCTGGGGCCAGTCCCGACTCCCCAGGCCTGGTGAGCTCCAGGTTAGCCTGTGCATTGTCCTCTGAGTCTAGGCCCTTGTGGGTCCCCAAGATGGTGGGGGGGCAGGGACAGAGCACTTGCTGTTCTGCTCCTGATGTCACACGGGGGCTTCCTGTGGGTCCTGGCATCAAGATGGCCTTCCACAAGTCAAGTGGCCACATCCTCAAGGGGCTGGCTCAGCCTCTCACAGCTCCTCCCGAGCCCGAGGTGGCTTTCCAGCCTTGTCTCGGACCCCCTGGTGCCTGCGGCTAGGGGGTTCTGGGGAACGGTCTTTGCTGGGCATTTCTTCCTCTTCCTCTTCTTCCTCCTCCCCCTCTGACTCTTGCAGTAGCTCTTTGGCTTCTAGCCACTCCTGGGGTTGGGGAGGAGAGCATGGCCAGTTCCCTGCACCCACCTTCCCTGGGCCAGCTCAGCCCCTGCCCCTCACCAACCGTGAGCCTTCTCAGTGGCTGCCTGCCCACCCCTCACGCACCAGGAGAACCACCTCCCCTCCTACGCCACTCCTTACCTGCTCCCTGTGCTCAGGTGCCCACGTGTGCCACAGTGCCAGGGCACAGCGCCGTCCCCGAGTCACGGCCCACACCCCGTGGGGATTCTCCCCACCGGAGCTGAAGGCTACAAGGCGTCCACAGCGAGGACGCACCCGAGCCTGGGGGGATGAGGGCAGGTTCAGCTCCAGGGACTGGCTCTCTCAGAGAACTTGGCCCTCACTCCCTAGAGCAGGACGGGGACAGGGGCACAGAGAGGGTCGGCTCTGTTGCTATCACTTTCCACTCCTTAATTGAGGGACTAACTCGGGGCAAATGAGAAATCAGCTTCAATTTGCAGAGCAAAAACGCCAGATTGAGGCGAGAGAAGTTGGGAACCAAAGGAAAAAGGGGTCTCCACGGAGGGTCTCCTGTTGGTTCCTGATCCCCGGTACCCTGATTTCCCCCACCCTGCCCTTTAAACCCGTGGTGTGAGGCAATCTGGGGGTGTGCATCCAGTACCAGACTTTACGTAGAAGGGGATAGGATCTCGGAGGCATTTTCATACCCCATGCCCAGATGAAAAGTCACCGCCCCTCTCCTCCTACCCAGTCCTAGCCCCTGGTATCTAGAAATTTCCCAACTAGCACTCATTATTTGCTTATTATTACCAGGCGCTGCTTTGTTCTTTTAGGTACATTACCTAAATTACTTCCAACAATGACCCTTTAAATCAGGTACTGTTATTATCACCCCAATTTAGGAAACTAAGCTTCAGAAAGGTTAAGACTCGGAGCCCCAGTCGAGGTGGCCCTGGTATCTATGCTGCCAGCCACTGTGCTCATCTCGCTGCTAGGAGGAAGGACTATTTCAAGTTCCCCAAATCCCTAGAATGGGGCCATGGAGTCCTGGAGGCACCTGCAGGCTGTGCTTCATTCACCCTTCTCCAGGAGGTGAGTCAACACTGAAGGCAGGGTGGGTGGGGCCACTTAGAGACCTAGCTTCGGAGGCAGCACCAGGAGGGCTGGGGAGGCAGGGAAGTAAAAGGGTTAAAAGCCCAGGCCATTTCCCTGCATTTGCCTCTGGAGCCTTCTGTTTTGAATCCTGACCCCACACCTGGGTCCTCTGTCACACCGTCACACCCCCCAATCCACGCACCGTGACAGTGAGGGCGTTGGGCTCCGTGAAGAACAGGTCCCCACCCTGGAAGTCATCGTTGAGGTAGAGGAGTCCACTGGGGAAGGAAGAAGGCAACAGGCAGTGAGACCCCAACCCAGGCCCAGACCTTTGTCTGCCCACCTGCCTGACCCCTAGAGGAGATGCCCACCTGTAGTCCCGATAGGTGTAGGCTGGGGGCTCCCGCCAGCACTCTCCGGTGTCGGGGTCCAGGACACAGTTGTCTGCGTGCACTGGGTGACTCAAGTCCATGCGCTGCTCTTGCTCTCCTAGGACACAAAGGGGTCTGGGGGTACCTCTGTGTCCCTGTGCCCATCTGCCACCCTGTGGGCTCATGCCATGCACATCCACCCTGGGGCTCTTGGCAGTGTCCTGGGGGCAGGGCCTGAGGTTGGAGAGGAGCAGTGGGGGTCTGTGTCATACCTTCTATGGCACTTCGGCACACCAGGTGGGTGAAGGACAGATGCAGGGGCCGTTCCGGGGAGAAGTAGGCCTGGGTCAAGGTCCGCACCCGCTCGCTCACCTCCAGAAGCAGCTTAGCACCCTGACTGCCTACCGTCCCAGACCGGGCCAGCTGCAGGCGGCGAAAGGCAGGGCAGACACGGAGGAAGGCAATGGGAGGGTGGTCTCGGCCCTCACTCCCACCCAATCTCCGCTGCTCTCCACCGGTGGGTTTGGAGTCTCAGCATCCAGCTCTGTCCATCAGCCCAAACTGCTCCCTCTATCTCTCCAGGCCAACAAGCCGGGCCCCAGCTCTCAGAACATCCCTTTTCTCCACTCTGGGGTAGGACTCAGGTAGTCTCAGTCCCAAGAAACCTCACTGCGTCCCTGGGGCCCGGCTTCCTGCACAGCCTCTCCTCCAGGTCTGGGCATCAGACGGGCCCCGGGTGCCTCCTCTCACCTGTGCAGCCTTAAGCACTGTGAGCCCCTCGAAGCGTTCATGGGGGGTGTGAGGGGAGCGGCGACCACGATAGCCAGACCTGGCTCCAGCCCCAGCTGCATCCTAAATCGGGAGGAGTTTACCTGGAGTGACTCCCCCGACCCCTCACAGTCGCAGACCCCGCACAGTGGCGGGCCCGCAAGACCCTCCGTCCCGCCCTCCCGCTCTCCAGAAGAAGCCAGATGTTTCCACAGTTCTGTTGTGGCTCCTCTTCCTGAGCTGCTGCCCTTTCTCAGAGCGTGCCCGTCACCATGGCTGCCCGACTGTCCCTCGCTGGTACAGGTTGGAATCCCGATTACCAAGGGGACTGTGGACAGAATTGAGGAGAGCTCCCTCCAGCAGTAAGGGGGCCTCTGAGAGGGGAGGGACAGCTGGGAAAGTGGGGCAGAGCTGGGAACTAGGCAGGAAGGGCTTGATCATTAATCCCTGATGAGCCAAGAATAGAGGAGTCTCTGGAAACAGGACCCTGACAGGAAGCTCCACAGTTAGGCCAGTTCCCAGCAGAAAGCTGACTGGTGGCAGGGAGACAGCATCAGCGGGCGATCCCTCTCTGACCTCTTCCCACCTGACATTCTCTCGGAGAAGCTGTGGACTCGGTGTCTCCACCACTCCTTGATACTGAGTCACAATTACCCAGTCACCTATGCGACTGCTCTTACTACCTGGGCGTCTCCTAATGTTTGGATGTCTACACTGGAATCATTCACTTTTCTGACACCCATTTTTTTTTCTTTTTTTTTTTTCCTACTACGTAAAGCATATCTGAGCAGAGTGACACCCATTTTTTGTCCACTTTTTGAATCTGTTTAAGCACCACTCTCTAACTACCTCTGCATATAAATCTCACTTCTGAGACACCACCTAGTCACCCAAGCCATCTAAAGTGTTTTTGTTTGTTTGTTTGCTTGTTTTGAGGTGGAGTTTGACTCTTGTTGCCCAGGCTGGAGTGCAATGGCGAGATCTCGATCTCGGCTCACTGCAACCTCCACCTCCTCCCAGGTTCAAGCGATTCTCATGCCTCAGCCCCCGAGTAGCTGGGATTACAGGCATGTGCCACCATGCCTGGCTAATTTTGTAATTTTAGTAGAGATGGGGTTTCTCCACGTTGGTCAAGCTGGTCGTAAACTCCCGATCACAGGTGATCTGCCTGCCTCAGCTTCACAAAGTGTGGGATTACAGGTGTGAGCCATCGCGCCCACCTGT